TCTACCCTAGTAGTGGGATTTAGTTAAAATTTTCATATCAACATTTACTAATTTTTCTTTTATCGTTCATATTTTAACCATGAATTAAAGATGTAACTAAAATAAGTAATCCAGATAGCATAGAGAATTTAAAAGAATTCAGTCGTACGTCATCAATTCTGAATTTATTTTTAGATGCAAAAAGAATTCTTTTTTTGAAAAGTTTTGAAAAAAAGAATTCTTTTTACATTTGAAAATGAACTCAGAATTCATGACATACGATTAAATACTTTTGAATTCTTTTTAAACTTTCTGTGCTGTCTAGGAACATTTAGACTCCGTTTTTAAATAGCAGGATTGGTTTTATAACATTAACACACACACGCACACGCGCGCGCGCGCGCTCACACAATTTTTATATGAATAAAATTTTTACAGTCGCGATATAAGACTACAAAGTGCCTTAAATAACGTGCATTTGATGAGTGCCACTGATGTAAATTATTATATTACAATTGAAAATATCACGACATTAAGTACCTCGAAAATTTCGCTCATAATAAGTTAGAAGTAGGCAATAGATTATAAAGATAGTCCATATTTTTTATCTATGAATAAAAATAAAATATTGTTTCTCTTTGATAGAAGACAAAATTAATCAATCACGCAATGTATGATTGATAAATCTTATTGTGGGATATTTTTGGAAAAAACCTGTGTACTTTAAATTATTGTAAATATATTTTTATAATATTATATACTTTTTGTACATCATTTTTATTATGCGACAAGCGTGCCAACATAGCATTAGCTTACTATAATTAAGCTCAATGAGATTTAGTGTACATCGCCGTACAGTGTGATAAAGAAGAAAGTTCATAAATAATCATTAGGTTATCAAGATTATTAAAAGTAACAAAGATTTTAAATATAAGAAATCGGATTAATCTTAACAAAAATCCATTTGTAAGAAGCTAATATTGAAATAAAAAGTGTAGATACAATTTAAGATAAGCACTATTAAGGATGAGGATAAATATAAACATTAGAAATGTGTGCAGACGTGTTCTAAAATGTCTTTCCTTGATATTATTTTGGAAATTTTAGAAAATAAATATTACAACACACAATTGCCTTTAATCTGTAATATTAAAAGTGTTTTTGACATTTAAAAGTGTTTTTAAATGTCTTTAGTAGATATTAAAATATAATAATTAACGGCAACTAATAAAAGATGAACATTTTAGAACGTATTTAAAAAATTTGAAAATACATCAATATGTGCCTAGTGCTGTTTTTGTTATACAAATGAGTTTTATATAAAATTAAATTTTATTACATTGCAATTACGATGTTAATTATTTTGTGAATATTATATATATTTACTACGATAGATATCATAAGCTAATAAAACATGTATGATAGCCTATTTGATGATATTGGAATGGAGCCTTATAGAAGTGTCTATGAATTTGCAAAATTGTTAATTATTTCGAGAATAAATCATATTAAATAATAAATCATGTTTTCTTAATTAAAGTGTCTTTTAGTCTTACATAAACAAAAAAACATATTTATTATTTTAAATTGATTAAAATAACTTTATCATTCCTGGGCGAAACAGTGAATCATTCTATTTATTAAAATTAATACAACACAACAAATAAATAGATACTTATTAATAATAATAAAATTATATTTTTATTTTCTGATATATTCTTTGTACAGTCACTTAATTAAAGATTATGATCAGGGGTATATTTATATTGAATTCCTTATTCATTGAGTCACGTTTTATTAATTGCAGTAAATATGAGATTATAGTGATTTATAAAGGTTTGTTTATTCCTATTTATTTCACACTTTTTCTTTTCTAACAATAATACTAGCATAATTTAAGATAATTTTCATAATTTAATCTACTAATAAAATAATATAAAATATCTCATGAAATTGAAATACACAATTTAAAAATAATCGTCAAAACACATAAAGTAAATCTATTAAATAATCGATTCAACGCTAAAAGAAATTCAACATATGCTTTTTTCTCATGAAATATAAAATATTAATGAGACCAGTATCGAAGTGAAAGTTGCGCAAGCGCATTAACCGTTTCTTACTCATCAGCATTCATCTTCATTCTTTCAATAAGTTCAGTTGTAAGTTATTTCTTCTATTTTTCTAAAAAATATTTAAAGAATGTCACATCCACTATAGATTAGACATATTTAAAGCTAGTATGTACACAAAGAAATTTAACAAAAGTAATAATAAAAATTTTTATAAAGTAAATAAATGAAAAAACCAAAACAAAATTCATAGATGTTAAATTATGTTTATTTATAAACATATAGAATTCATTCAGACAGATTTCTTTTAAAGAGAAGTAATTCCTCTATCTACACAAGAGCGCTTTGTCAAAAATTACGGGACATCCTGTATAACATATAATTTTGCTTTTTTTTTATATTTTGTTAGTTATATCTATTAAAGCAAGTTAAAAATTGAAAAATGTTTTAGTAACTATAAACGAATAAAAATGAGAGGAATATATAATTATTACCACATTTAAATCGTTGATTACATATTCCCTACATTTTAATCCCTTCCTTTTTATTATAACGTTAATTTTATAATTTAAATTAATTCACTAATTTAACTACCACGATACAACATACCAGTGAAACTAAAATATTTATCACTTGACACTTTCTGTAGGGTAGAAGTCGAACGGTTAAATAATCGATTCAGTGTGGAACGAAATTTAACAGATGTTTCCTTTTCGCGTGAATATCATTCACGCGAAAAATTATAAAGTGAATGTTACACAAACATATTATTAGTTCGTCAATTTTCAGTGCACATTCGTATGTTTTATATTTCAATACATATATACTTATACGTTATATATAATCTACTGGGGACTGTAAATGTTTTAAAAGTATCACATGTAAACATTATTACATAATAACAATGTTGTGCAACATTATTGTATAATTATATAATTAATGTACTTACATTTTTATTTTTTAAAATATATAATATATGTATATTTCTTACGTTATGTATACTAAATTAAATAATTTTATGAAATATGAAATAGTACAGATTTATAAAAGTAAAACAGAAGATTATAAAATAATAGTATTAAAATAATATTGATTCTTAAGGTACAACATTAAAAAAACAGAATAAATAATATATATGTGGGTGGTATTAAATTAAGGATCTAAGGATCTACAAAGCAATAAAGTAGAATATTAATTAAAAAAAGAAAGCTAACACACAAAATTAAATTAATTTATTTTATTCTGTCTTAATATATAAATTATTACTATTAAATATAAAATAACGTGCAATGCAAATATGTATATTAGTTAATTTTTTTCTTGCATTAAGTATTGGGTCGTCCGGAAAGTCCGTGCGTATTTACCGGACGACCCAATATTATTGTAAAATATTATCTCTTCTGTCTTTCATTTATTATTTATGTCAATAATTTTAGACATGAGATATATTGCAAACCGTCTTTTTCATTTATTTCATGCTATTATAATACAAATTATAATATATTGTTATGATTGTATTGAATACATAACAATAAAGTAAGAAACGGATGCATTTAATAACTGTAAATATAATTATGTTTATTTTTATTTTGTTGTAATATATAATATATAAAATAGATTTTTAGATATATAGTATAGGACATAAAATATATATTTTGTGTACCGTGGCAAAACATTCTAAGGACACCACAAACAATCCACCGATTTTCATACCAAAACTTTTACTACCTCTTTGCAGCAGAATCAGTATTAGCCTTTGTATGGGTAAAGGAGTTACGTTCCATTGAACATTGTATCTAAAATTAATAATGGTTTAAAAAATTTGAAGAAAATAAGAATATTTACATGATGCTTTTTCATCATATATCATACATATATCATACATATATGTGCCATGTACTTTATTAATACTTAAAAATTTAATTAGTAATATTTATCACTTTTTTATTAATAATTTAGCCAACTTTGTAACTCTTAACGATTGTAATTGTAGCGTTACACTCGTTAAAGGTTAAAGAATTAGACTTCTAAATTTCTTTTATAATATATAACTACAATATAAAACAATTATATTACTTACGCAGTGACAAATATATAATTATTATGATCTATAATTTGCTGTCCGATCAAATTGCATATAATCATGTATAGAAAACATGCATATATAATTGTGAAACTTAATATAAGATCTTCAGTATTATATTCGAGCAATACAATCTGAAAAATCTAATAGACAAATATATTATTGGCTGCGTTCAACAAAGAGAACTAATCAGTTAGCGCTTAGTGATTCTTTAATATGATTGGTTCATGCTTTTAATTCTTTACTGGATCTAAGTGTAAAAAGCAATTATATTGAAGAATTACTAAGCGCTAACTGATTAATTTTCTGCTGAACGCAGCTATTCAGATCAAATCGAAAGAACATAGTATAAATGTAATTTATTAATTTGCGATAGAATGTAGCACAACATTTATCTACTATAAATTTATATATTAAGCTATATACATTTTTATAAATAGAAATTTATTACAAATTTTAATTGCTATGTATATGAAGTATATCTTATTACTATTATAATATTAAAATATTATATTATAATATTTAAAATAAATATTACAACTTATAAATTAATTTAAAGATATCAAAAACATGATGTTATATTATTAAAAATCAGAAACTATGTGTGAATTGAATTTCCGACATTAAAATTAATAATTAAATCTTATTTTTCACATAATTATTATTTTATTTTATATTTAAAGCTTGTATTTTAATAATTTAAAAATCCGAGTAGGGATTTAAAAATAAAAAAATTGTGTCAACAAATATAAGTTAATAATATCTCAAAATCCAAATTTAAATAATCTTACTATAAATTGTTACTCCCAAAATATTAATCTAATCTCTATCAATATTGTTTGAAAAAGACATTAAGATTATTAATCTTAAGCAATATAACGAAATAATATGCAAACCATTAACATGGATTTATAAAAGATGAGACGCACTCGAAAAATATTTAGGCTCATGATAAGAACTCCAAATACTAAGAAGAACATAAACGTGATTTGAAATCTGGATACAAAATAGTTGGTGAATCTAAAAGCAAACGTAAGTTATTACGAATGTTAAATATTTATTACAGAATGTGTAGATACCTACTTCATAGATTTTCGATGAATATCTACAGCACCAATTAGATCTTTATAAACTAAAATTTCTTTCTGCGTATTAAGATCTTTTAATGTATAAATATGTATAGCTTTCTTGATGCGATAACTGTAAAATAATTTAATAACTGATTACTATTGAAAAAAGTAAAAATAATTTTAGAAAAGTAAGAGAAAAAAATTGGCTTATTATAGCTCTCGATAATAGAAAAAAAATTTAACTCTTAATAATATAATTTAATAAAATAATTTTTATAAATGTGCTCGCATTGCGCATTTATTATTGATCTTGTTCTAGCGTAATACATATCTATACACAAACATTTATTGTTATGATAATCTTATTTGTAATATTAAATAAATCTGGACTGCAGAGAATTTTCAATAACATTAAAATATAAATAAAATATTAAATAAATAAAATATAAATATAAATATTAACTACTTTTCACATATTTGATTTTATCTCAATAAAATGTTACTTTCGAAAATTTACTTTATGAAATATTGATTATTAATATGCTTAGAATTAAAAGTTTAAATAATTAGTTTATTAAAATAACGAAATCTTAATATGCATGATGTCTTACAGTATTGTGCAAAATAATATAACTAAAATTACTTTCAAGGTAAAGCTAAAAAGCTAATTTTAGTTACATTATATTGCACTGTAAGGGATCATGCATATTAAGATTTCGTTATTTTAATAAACTAAATAACAAATCGAAGGATTCTTCCTATACAAAATAAATAATAATAAATAAACGGCAAAGTAAGAGTCGACACATTTCTTTAAAATTACATGAAGAATATATTACAATTAACAAGAGATAAAATTACATAAAGCAAAAATAAAATTAAAAATAAAAAAATTAAATAAATAAAAAGTTACAAGTTTCGGCTACTGGATTGAGCCCTTTTCAGACATTAACATAACGAAAAAATTGTAGTACAAAATCAATTATCGCAAATGATCGCATATTCATTACATTCACAGTTCGGGTGAGTCTTGATGTAGAACTCGACATTATTTCCGTACGATTGAACAGTCAAATGTATTAAAAACATCTTGGCAAAGCTCTAATTGATAAAAAAGATAAAAACAGACTTCAAAAACCATGTGAAAAAAATTCAAACAAGCGTGTCCATATAAGAATAAAAAAACTTTTCAAATATATATAGAAAGAAGGAACGCAGATGTGTAAGACGGACATTATGTGCTAGTACGGATCACCATAGACCACAGAGAGTGGTCGAAACTTGTAACTTTTTATTTATATAATTTTTTTATTTTTAATTTTATTTTTGCTTTATGTAATTTTATCTCTTGTTAATTGTAATATATTCTTCGTGTAATTTTAAAGAAATGAGTCAACTCTTACTTTGCCCTTTATTATTATTTATTTAATAAACTAATTATTTAAACTTTTAATTTTAAGCATATTAATAACCAATATTTTATAAAGTAAATTTTTTGTATTAAAACAAATACTTTTTACGAATAAGAGAATCAAAAGTTTATTTCTGATTTAAATTTTATAACAATTTTTGAGATGCTAATTAACATCAAATTATTGATCTTTTGCCATAATGTTGATTATCGATATTATTATTATTGCAGTTCTTTTTCAATTTAAATGTATGATATTTTTACTCTTGTTCTATTTATGACTGTTTCATGAT